TTCGTCTCAAAACAATTTTTTTCGTTCTGCTCTTTTCAATTCTATTAATTAATTCCTTTTTTAAAATAGCCAATTGAAATAAAATAAAATAAATAAAAAATTCTAAAAGATATGTACAGTAATGATAAACAATTATCTATTCCAAGGATTATGACTGTAATTGGATAACGGATCAATAAAAACTATTAATCTAAAGTGATCATGATAGAAGTAAAGCCAACGAAGAATAATTAAACTTGCCAATCGATTAATAAATTTCAACATAATCTAGTTAGAACAACAATAATACTGGTCAAATGTTCTTAATTATACGACTACGATAAATAAAAATATACATTGATGAGGTTGAAAATATATTTCATTTCTCAATCTCAACGTACAGTGCACACTACTCTTCAAAACAAACGGCTCAAATGGAAAAACTCCTTCCAGTAAAACGAAAAACAGTGCTCCTGTATGAAAGTTACCTCTACACTATAGAATTTTCAATAGCGATATTTCCAATCACATCAATGTATATTTTTATGTATCATGGTTGCATAACTAAGAACACTTTACCAGTATCATTGTTGCTCTAGATTATGTTGAAATTTATTAATCGATTGACAAGTCTAATTATTCTTCGTTGGCTTTAGCTCTATCATTATCACTTTAAATTAATATTTTTTATTGATCCATTTTCCCAATTACAGTCATATCCCTTGGAACAGTCAATCGTTTATCTTTACTGTACACATCTTTTAGAATTTTTTATTTATTTTATTTTATTTCAATTGGCTATTTTAAAAAAGGAATTAATTAATAGAAATGAAAAGAGCAGAACGAAAGAAATTGTTCTGCGACGAACAGAACGCGACAAAATGTGGTGCGACGAAGTGATCGTGCGACGAAGTGATTGCGACGAAGTGATCGGTCACCCATTTCGATTAGTCTTGTGCAAGAAGATGCAAAACCAATAGCAGAAGAAAAAAGACCGAGAAAATATATTAGCAACTATTCTCATTATTGAGTTGTGAATGTTACTAGAAAGCATTTCTATTGGCTAGATTATAGAGAACGAAAAAAGAATAAAGCAGAAAAATTAATCATTTATTCCCATGATCAAATGGAACTGTCTATTCTTTATTATTCTAGTATGCAGAAAGTTAATTTCTTGAGATCGAGACTAACACTGATTCAGTTTTATTTCTGCTTTGTAATCATCTTTGGTTGGAGTATTATCAGAAACTTATACATTGCAATAGTGACGATCTTTGATCTGAAATTGTTAAGTACGCGAAGATTTCATAGGAAAAAAGGCACAGAAAAAGCCCGGTTACCCTAAGTAAAACAATTCGATCTTTGTGTTTTATGAAGAGATCAGAAATGAGGAAATATATAAGACTATAATGACATAACAATGTTTTAGGCTTCTCATTCGTTTAAACTTTTGTAGTTTTAGTGCTCACAAATTGGCTTAGTTTTTTTTGTGTGCTTTATTATGATATGCACGAGTAACATACAGTTCGATAAACTAAACAAGTGTACAGAGAAAAAGAATACGAAAGCAAAGAAATTAAGAAGAGCGCAAATAGTGCATATCATCGTTCATTTATTCACCATGATCTCATCTTTAGTCTTACCAGGGAACCACCCTTACAGTTTGCTATCTTTCTTCTTTATCTTTTACTTCCATACAGGACTTCATGAAATTAAGAAAATTTTAGAAGTTTTGTATTCCTTACAAGGGGAAAATAGCAAGACTTCATCTACTTCCGAATTTTTTTGAAGTACGAGGAAGTATCATGGAAGTACGAGGAAGTATCATGGAAGTACGAGAAAGTACGATGGAAGTACAATAGAAGTACCAAGAAGTATAGGGGAAGGACAACCAAAGTACAAGTGAAGTACCGAGAACCGTATGGGAGTTTGCGTTTAGGTTTGGATTTCTGGGGTAGTTATGTCATCCCTAATTTTTTCAGTAAAAATGATAGTTTTTGAGAAAATAATGATTTTTTATAAGGCTTAACCGAAGGTAATCGGGGTCAGGGAATCCGAATCTGAAGTCGGTTTCCCAAAATTTTGAACTTGGTTTTTTGACTAAAGAAAGGGTTTTTGAGAAAAAAATGATTTTTTTATAAGACTTAATGGAAGGTAATCGGGGTCGCGGAATCGTAATCTTCAATCAGATTCTAAAATATTTTCTACTTTATTTCCTGATCAAGTAAGCTTACTCTACTCACTGAAGTCAAACTTCATAAGACAGCGTTATTTTCTCAAACAACCTTTTGTTTAGTCAAAAAAATCAACTTGAAAAATTTTAAGAAACCGTTTTCAAATTCGGATGCACCGAATTCGATTACCTTCAGTTAAGCCTTATAAAAGAATCATCTTTTCTCAAAAGATCTTTTTTTATTGGAAAAATTAGGGATGATATACCTAATCCAAATCGAAACTCACAGTCAAACTCCCAAGCGCTTTAGGTTTGGTGCATGCCTTAGTACAGGGGAAGTACAGCTGGAGTACACACCAGAAGTCTCGCTTTTCCCTCTTTGTACATAGTACATTTAGTAACAGTTTTTAGAAGATAACTTTTTGTAGGAGTGTCACTTTTGCGTTCGGTTCGTAGGAATGGGGAACGCAATCCAGTCCTGTACCGAGAAACGAGAAGGGGAACGCGACATGAATTCGCTTAACTTTTAACGGAAAGCTTCCGAATTCATCGAACGAAATGTAATTTCCTAAATATAACGATATTTTATATAGCTTGACCAAAGATAACCTGGTACGAGGAATCTGAAACTGGCAACTGGTTTTTCAAAATTTTGAGTATGATTTGTCTTGTGAAGGAAAGGCTATTTTCTAAAAATAACGATGTTTTCTGAATTTTCACCAAAGATAGTCAGGATCAAGAAATCCGAATCTGCAATTTGTTTTTAAAATTTTTAGTTTAATTTTCGCTGTCCAGCGAACGCTGTTTTCTAGAAATAAGAATTTTTATAAAGTTAAACCAATGAAAATGGGGTCGAGGAATCTGAATCTACGATCAGGTTTTCAATTTTTGAGTTTGTTTTTTTACGTTAGAAAAGAGAATTTTTGAAAAGTAGCAATTTATTGTAAAAGTTTGATGAAAAGTAATTGAAGTCGAGGAATCTGAATCCATAATTGGTTTTTCAAAATCTTTAGCTTGTTTATTCCACTGAAATTTTTTTAGCAGTAAACAATCTATTTTTGCAAAAAATTCTTATTCCTTAAAACCTGGCTTCGCAGCAGCCTTCTGAAAAAATATAGGAATATATAGGACTTTAGGGGCCAAAAATATATAGGACCACCCTCAATTATATTGAAAATATATAGGACGTTAGTTTTCCCTACAAAATTTTTTTGACGCCTAGAAAAACTACAGCAATATCGTAGATTGTAATGAGATTCTTCTTTTACATTTATCCGATAGGCTAAATAAAAAAAGTATCATCAAGTAGTGAAAAGCAATGACATGGAAATATTTTTCGACAATAAAAATAACAATTTGGGTTCGATCTATTTTTAACGATTTTACACATAAATGCAATATAAATGTTAAAAAATGAAATTAAATAAGAATCAAAAAAGTTTTTGGTTTATAGAAAACACACGATATCTTTTTTCAATACTGTTGTAGTATCTCAGCTACAAAACTATATAAACAAAATATTCACATATTACAAAATAATATAACTTTTAATTTAAAATGATAGATGCATCATTTAAAGTTTTTTGTCGTTTTTGTTGTTTTCGAGAAAATTCATATTTTTGTTTTTCTGAATTTTAATTAATTCTGTTATTTTTGATAACTGTTCATTGACTGCTTTGCTTTTGTGTTACCACTATCGATTAAGATAGTTGATCTATCTACCTCAATGCTATCTTTTTTTTTGATTGCAAGTTGTAAACATTCACTAGCATCATCAACTATCAAGGTGACATCATACAGTTCACGTTGTGCATGTATATCAATTACAAAACTTATGTTAAGTTAGATGCTTTTCTAAAGAATGCGTGACTTTCTTCACAAGAATTTTCCACTTTTCAAAAAATATAGGAATATAGGAAAAATGATCAAAATATAGTATATTATAGGACTAGTTTAAAAAATATAGAAAATATAGAACCACTACGAAGCCAGTTTAAAACTCACTTGTTTTACTAAAAAAATATTTTTAGTTATAAAATTAAGCTTGAAAGTTTGTGAAAACCGATTGCAGAATCGGATTCCTTGATCTGAATTACCTTTGATCAAACTTTATCAAAAATCGTTATTTTTAGAAAATACCCTCTCCTTGACAACAAAAAATTAAACTCAAAGTTTGGAAAAACTGATTACTGATTTGAAATCCTCGATCTCGATTACCTTTGGTCAAACTTTATACAAAATCATTATTTTTAGAAAATAGTGAAGTATCAAGGAGTACAGAGAATTATAATGAAGTACAAGGAAGTACCATGGAAGTATCATGGAAGTATGAGGAAGTATCCCGGAAGTACGAGGAAGTACGAGGGAAGTATGAGGATGTACGATGGAAGTATGAGGGAAGTACGCACTCCTGAAGTCTTGCTCCTTCCCCCTGGTCTTCATTGCTTTTTCTATGCAATATCAAATCGACAAAACTCATAAATGAACCATCGATGTATTCACACTGTATTTCCAACTAAGATTTAAGCAGACGAAATTTTCTTAGACATGCAATTCATACTTATCACACCCATGATCATCAAGCGCCTTTTACTCGTTGTTCTAACAGTATTTCGTCAGTATGTAGCTTCGTATATGATTTCACAAGGTTAGCCAGCTTGTATTGATTCCACGTTTTAGTGTTACTGACAACTCAGTCCGACGCTAAAATGAAAAAGAATGTCCATTTCGAATAGCAAACAGTACATGATTCGAGTTCTGTGACAGGCATCTTTTTCTCTTTTTTGTTTTTCTACGCTCATACCATTCATGAATTACACTCATATATGATGTGTACATTTTGTTAGAAATGGGCAATCAGACAGCTAGGAAAACAGTTGGATCGGATGCCAAAGAAATCTTTCAAACAATGCTCATGAGCGATCTGCATTTGGAATTCAGCCAACAGAAGCCACCCCAATTTTCAGTTGTAGCGCCAAATCTGATACTCGCTGGAGACATTGGAAGACCCGATGTGCCTTCTCTACAAAAATTTTTACTCGCTCAATGCCAAAGATTTGAACATATCTTTTATGTGGCGGGAAATCATTGTTTCTACGAAGGAGATTATGAAACTCGTCTTCAACGACTTCGAGAGCTTGACAATCTCAATCCCCGTATCCATTTCCTACAAAACAAAAGCTATCTTCTTCCTCATAAGGTCCGTATACTCGGTGCAACACTCTGGTCTCATGTCCCTCAACAAACAACTTCGATAGTTGGTTTACTGCTTAACGATTATCGTTACATTTCGACTGTGGACGAGAATAACGCAGAAGATAGTAAAATCAAAACACATCGAAAAATCACAGTGAATGACACGAATAAATGGCATGCGCAACAACATGCGTGGCTTGTGCAAGAGATCCAAAAAGCGCGTGATAATCGAGAACATGTCGTCGTTATCACTCATCATGCGCCTATTCGTCATGGGAATTATTCTGAAGATGACGCTGATCTCGGTGTTAGCGACGCTTTTGTTAATGATCATGATGCAGATTGTGTAGATCCTGTTCGATTGTGGATGTACGGACATACGCATCGATCAACTGATTTGACTGTTAACTCTACAAGATTAGTGAGCAATCAATATGGCTATGCTCACGAAGATTGTGGATTTCGACCCAATATAAGAATCACATTGTACGATGATGGCACCGTTACTGTCACAGAACCTGAGTCCTCCTCGGATCCTTGACTATTTTTGAATATCATGTTGATTGTATCACATCGACGTGTTTATATATAATAAGACATCAAGATTTAAATTATTCACATAAATGTCTGAAATACGTTATGGATGTGGGTGTGGATGGGTATGTGAATGTAGGTGTTCTTGTGGGTGTGGGTATTTACTATCTTTTTATCTACATCTACAGCCACCACATCAACCACACCCACACCTATACCCACACCCACACACCCACCCACACCCACACCCACACCCACATCCACACCTCGATTATCACTGACTCAGTAATGTGTAAATAGATAAATTGAACAGGAAATAATAAAATAAACAAATTCATTCAGGAATATAAACGTTAAACATTAGTTTTCAGAACCATTTCAAAATTTGAACAATTATCTTCTGTCTTTTTATGATGTTAAACATAACTGTGTAACATGAATACAAGCGATCATTTTTATTATATCAAAAACTATTTGTTTTATTACTTGTCTCCATTCTTATCAAGAGTAAACAATCAAATTTGAAACGATATTATTTCTTTTATTTTTTGTTTAAAAATTCTTGAACAAAAGTATTGAATTGTTATATTTGTATTTGTATTTGTATAATAACAATTGAACACTAATGAATAGATAAAACAAATGAATAACGTTGTATACTCGTTCAAACATGTATTGAATAACGTCGACATGAATATTTTCTTTTTTCTTTCGCTGACATTGACCAACATAATTTCTTTAAAAAAAAATATTGGTCAACCGAAAAGCAGACGGACATGTGTCATTGTTTATATCAATATATATATAACTCACTAAGAATGAATGAGAGCGATGAAAAAAAAATGATTGATAGCAAGTTTGAATTGTTACCTGTCGATATTCTTTTTGAAATTTTTGCATATTTATCTCCTGTCGAGATTCTTCAATCGTTTTTATCATTGAATAAACACTTTTCGAAAATCATTCGGCATCAATATTTATGGCACATAGGTATTGATGGCAATTCAATGCCATTATCAATGTTCAATAATTTTTGTCAAAATATGTTAAAGTTGATAGGACGTCGACTTGTCTCATTGCGCATAACATTAAGCAATGCCATTGGTGGATGGTCACTTGTTTCATCATCTCTACAATCTCATCGAATCACATTACTTCGACATCTACATTTAGTTTATATTGAACCGTATGAATTTGATAAATTATTATGTAATCGTTTAATAAAACAATTACATACTTTAATAGTCGATGTGACGAATGATAGTTCGTTTCATGATGGAGTTGCAGAAGGAGCATATTTGGCTAAGGTGAGTACGCTAAAATGAGTTGAGTTCATTATCGAGTTTGAGTATTTTTGACAAGAATTTTTACATATCTATATGTATAATAGTTTATAATTTTTGTTTTTTTTTCTTCTAAAGGTGTGTTCATGTGTGGACGCTTTAAGAATCTGTCGACTTCCATTTAATTATTATCCTAGAACTCATAAACAATTATCAAAATGTTTATTACCACCATTGATGACTTTACCAAATTTATCGAATACAAATAATCTTCGAATATTGACCATTGGTATGAATTCATCACGATTTCTTCAAAGATTACTATTTTGTATACCATTTATTGAAAATCTTTCTATTGGTATACATGATCAAGAGATTAATAAGAATAAAAAGTTTGACATAATCGCGTAAGTTATATTCTATGATCTTTGACAGTTTTGAGTCAAATGAAACTTTTATTAAGATTGCCTTCCTCTATCGATGCTAATCTTCTTCGCCATTTATCTCGTCTTAATTTGAACTGTGCGAATAACATAAGTTTTCATCAATCTGTTGCACTTTTATCATCTATATTTGGTCAACTTATCCATTTATCACTAAAACTAAAAACATCTATGTCACTATCTGATCCATTGATTATATCAGGTGATACTATTCAACAATTATGTATCGATCGTTTCAAACCATTGTCATCCTATACACTTGATCTTTACTTCTTCGCTAACGAAGATTTGAAGGAGAAAATTCTTTTGAAATCATTTGTTCAAGCACCATTTACTAGTCGAAAGCGACCAAAAGTTATTATTTGCAAAAATCCTGATGAAGATATTTATTATAATACTTACAAATTTAATGTTTACACTTTACCGTATAATGGTACTAAGCTTACAACGTTGTTTACTCCTGAAGATCTTCAAGTGTATGTATATGATATATAGCTTTGATAAACAACGAGTAGATATATTTTATTCTTTCTATATAGATCTTCTCAAATGTTGGACAAAATAATAAATTTATATCCACGTATAAATGAATTAATTCTTAACAATTCTGCAAACAAAATTTATCTTTCAGATCTCGACAATTGTAGAAGTTCTTTGTCATTATTTGTTCCATGGTCATTGATAACAAAAATCTTAATTAATGCTGATATTGTTGGTGTAGCTGAATTGGAAGCAGTATTACAATTAGCTGATAACGTACATACACTAGAAATAGTTGATGAAGATGGAATTTTGTCTCCTGCTATTCTATATAACAAAAATGATCTCGGTACCATCGTTAATCGAAAAGTAAATATTTCTCTTTTCAACAAAAAAAAGGAATAATGATATTTATTCGTTCAGAATTCATGCCTTCATTTCTAATGATCTTCTATTTAAAGAAAATCGATTAAAAATTCGAATTAGATTTTTAACTTCATTTCCTTGAAATTAATGAGAGTTAAAACTGACTAGAGGTAATTAAGACCAATTATATTTAATTAAGACCAGTTAATGCTAGTTAAGAGTAGGTAAGACTAGAGAAAGACGTGCAGGGCATGACGTCCTTTTTCTCGAATTTTATTCAGGAAAAGTCTCATGCTTTTGAAATGTTCGTTCAATAGCTGTATAAATCTAGACTATTTATATGACGCTTTCTGGTCTGACGAGGGAACATATCCAACTGTCGAATGTCGTTCAAGCCCATATTTTGGCTATGAGTAGAGCTCAGTGAGAATAGTTTCGTAGCAACAAATGAAAATTCTATGTCGAAAATTTCAGATATCAGCTTGTTGAAATAAGGAAAAAAAATCGGCAAAAAAAAGTAAAAAATCCCATTTTCTTACACCTATGTGTCAATCAGATCTCTGTTCAGGTACGCCATGAGCACGAACTCTTTTAGGGTTTTTAGTTTCACTGAATCCTACTCATAACCAAAATATTGGCTCGAACGGCGTTCGACAGTTAGATATGTTCCCTCATAAGTGTCTAGTTATGCTATTCGATGAAGACTCCAAATCCAAACGCAGTAACTTTCTAGAAGCTATTCCATAACTTGTGAGATGTCTCTTATATGTATATATAGTTTCTTTGTCGATCTGTCTTAGACAATTGCAAAGCAAGAAAGTAACGAACAACAGTAAGAAATCTATTTCTTATGAAATATCGCACAGATAAAAGTGTGAGACAAGAATCGGACTATCTCCACATTATCTGTAACAATTTAATATGCAGAATATAAACTCAATGATAAAAATGAACGTCAAATATTTTGTAACACTTCAAGAGAGACATTCAAGATAAAAAAAAAAGAATTGGACCACAAGACTTTTATTGGGTTTCAATAAATGTTATTTGTGAAAAAGCAACTCAAATTCTTCAGGGAAATTTAATAAACGTCGATGCAACGTAGTCTATAGATAGGCATTGTGCATATCGCTAGTATTTTGAATTCCCAATCGAGAGTTCTATCATTGTAAATCCAATAATTTTTTTTGCAATAAGCCAAATATGAATCGATTAGATTGTAGATAAAATAGAGTTATCTATTACGGAAGTAGACTTAAAGATGAGAGCGACTAGTCGTTCATTGGTGGCTCAAAAGGGTCGCGATGAAAAGTGTGCTTTAGGTCGATGGAATCTACAGATAAATTATCCACCAATCGGGTCCAATCGTTTGAAACTGTATCCGAAAGTGATGATAAACTGAAAAAATTTTCTCGAAGCCAGTTGTAGGAAGCAATCTTTTGCAGAAATAAAACATCTTGAGTGTACATTTTTTGAAAAACATAACTTATCGAATTTCTATTAAAATAGTCTTCATCTAGATAAAAAAAAGCAGCTGATGTTCCGTGGTTGAAACTCAAATGGTAACGATTTTGAAACCCAGGCTGAGAATGACTGGCACGCACAAATAATATCAGATTCCTTGTGTACTTATAGTAAATGAAACCAAAATCAGTGTAGACAACTGAAAGAGTGTCTGATTAAAAATCTAACTATACAGTTTGGGAAGTTTTCTATTTGATTAAGAATATAAAAATGAAGTTTCTATTAGATATATTGTAATTTACCTGAAATCGTGTAATCAATACCCAATATGTGAATATTAGAAGATAAAAGATAAAATTTAATTTTGGAAAGATCTACTGAAGATAGTTTCAATTTGCTGTAGACATCAAAAAATTTATTTATTTTTTTCATTAGATCCGATCACTTGGTTTAAACAATTGTACATTGACATTATTTAATGCAGAAGATATTTGCAAATTATTGGTTGATCAATTAACTAATTTGAAAAAATGTTGGTTTACAATCCATGATTCATATGGTGATTTCGATTGGAATCCATATTGTATTATTGATGGTGAAAATGAATCTACAAAACGTATTCTTAATCTTATCCATTTGTTTATTGATCATTTGCAAGAATTGTTTTCGCTTAAAATATACTTTTGTCAATGGACGTCAAATCATACACCTTGTTTTCCATATCGAATTCGACGAGAATTACATCATGGGTTAATTAATCGACCTTATCGATTACAATGTTCTTGCAAAATGATTCAAATTTGGCTTTAATACTATGTTAATTACGTTATGATAGACATTGATTAAATATATATATATTTAATAAAAATATGAAAAATTGAACAAAATGTGCTTTTTCTTTCTATTCGACATGTAAAACTAAATTGACTCATTCAATTTAATTAAATATAATTAATATTAAGATGAATTAA